CCCTCCCTCCCTCCGTGGAGATGCGTCACTGCCGCCGTCAACGGGTGGACGGACGGCTCGAACTGTGTGGAAAAAGCGCTGACCAGAAGGCAAAGGCGAAATGGTGCCACTGAGTGATAAGGGTCGGACCGGGGTGAGGGAGGGGGGTGCTTGGCGAGGGGCTCGCTGTGGTCGGTGCAGTCTACTCCGCGCCGCCACGCACCTCCATGTTCAACAGGATGCACAGGCTCTCTCGTCAATGGTGACAGAATTTTTTTCTGGTTGAGGGGGGGGGGGGGGGGGAATGATCGCTTTGGTTAATCTGGTCAGTCTTTGGGGCTCTCTAAATGCTCGTTAATATTACTTTTGTATTCTCTACAGTTGTTTATTTGTTTCAATGTAATGTCAATTGAAAATACTGAGCTGATGTGTTTTTTTCCCGTTTTGTTTACAGGAAGGCGCGTCGTAAAGACCGGGAACTTTCATCATTGTGTCCAGACGATCCAAAGCTCTACTTGGAGGAGGGGTTATTAGAACGGAAACTTCCTGACATCGACTTACAAGTGCTATTGGAACTTCCCCCTGGCTTGGACTATAACGAGTGGCTGGCTTCACATAGTATGTTACAATTTTTATCTTCAGTTTCATTTTTTTTTTAAATGTTTTACCATTAAAATCAAGGTATTAATGGGTCTGTTTTGTAAATTATAGCTTTAGCGTTTTTTGACCATATTAATTTAATATATGGCACAATATCAGAGTTTTGCACGATGTCGGGATGTCCTGAGATGACAGGACCCGGCCTCCGGTAAGTCTCTTTTACTAAAATTAACATTTATTTTTATCTTTTGGAACTTGCTCATTTATTTGATCTGTTTTGTAGGACATATCTATGGTTTGACGAAAAGGGCAAGAAAACTCGAGTTGCTGCTCCACAGTATATTGACTATGTGATGACATTCACCCAAAAAACTATCAGTGATGAAAGTATATTTCCAACAAAATATGGTAAGTGTCAAGTCCTTAAACTTTTTCTTAACCTTCTTAACTTCTTCAACTGTAACTCATGCTCAATTTTCTTTTCCAGCCAATGATTTTCCTAGTTCATTTGAGTCGATTGTTCGAAAAATATTACGACTCTTATTTCATGTGCTGGCTCACTTATATCACTGCCACTTCCGGGAGGTCGTGCTTTTAAACCTCCATGCACATCTTAATTGTGTGTTTGCGCACCTCACCCTATTTAATGCTCGTTTCAATCTAATTGATTCCAAGGAAACAGAAATTTTGCAAGACTTGGTTGTTGCTTTAAAGCTGCAACCAGAGGGTGATGTGTCGCAAACAGAAACCTCCCCTAACACTGGAGGTACCGGTAACACAGGGAACAGTGGTAGCTCATCTTCTGCAGTTGCCGCTTCAACTCAGCCAACTGCGTCAACCACAGACAGCTGTGAAGCGTCAAATACTACAGCAAATTCATCAACGTCATCACAGTCATCAGGGTCGACCGGTTTACCATCAGCATCAGTGCAGCGTCGCTCAAGTAGATGTGAGGACAGTTTTTTACATGATGTTCCACTTCTAAATGAACCGCTATTGGGCAGACAAGAAACCGTAGCAGGCGTGTCTCACTAGTCTGACTGAGTGGTACCGGTACCTCAACATGTTGTTATTTGATACATACTTTAGCATTAGTACTGACTCTCTTCTGAGGATGTGTTATTTTTTATGTGAAGAAAACGGCTATGGTCATCATACTGCATCTGTCAAGTGTTTGGAGTTCAACAAACATGATTTGTTTTGTAGGTTCTGTTAATATTCAGTTTTGTATGAGATCATCAATCTCCCAGATTTCAGAAAATCACATATCATTTCATGTGAAAGATTTGTTGGTTATTGTTATTCACACCCTCAGAGGAGAATAGGATATTAACTCACTGTTATTCTTCTGCTTTATTGACTTATGTTTATCTTTAAATCTTGTTCTTGTCTTTCAATTTATTTGGTTGTTAAAAGTACTGCATTATGCAGTTGTTATAACAGTGAGTTGAGGTCCTTTTGTTATTGCTTCTTTAGGGAACATTTCACCATTTGCTTTCTTGTTTTTCTCCTTGATTGACACCAGTGTTTTAAACACTCTGATGTAAAGATGTTCAAAGATATTCAGACCTCTCTCCTGTGTAATGGTTTGTGTTGAACTATCAATTGACTGTAACAAGGCTGTTGTGTACTGTTGTTGGCTGTTTACTGTTTGCAAGTGCTCTTAGAATATTGGCTATCACCTTCTTCCACTGAATCTAGTGGTTAATGGTGAGTGTGTCATTTGCCGCCAACTTCACTGGTCTCCAATTTTAAAGAAACTCCCTAAACAACCTACAACTGACCATGCCTCTCTTCATTGAGACAGTCTCTTTTGAGTTTTCTACTTTGATTGTGATGTACGTATTCGTTTTATTGTCTTGACTATCCTTCAAATCCTGTGACTTTCAATGTAGTCAAGCTTGAAAAATTTGGACTCTGTGAATGTTGTTTGGTTGATCTCGCAGATTATATATACTTGTACCATACTCTGAGGAAATGTGATTATTGTGATTGAAAGGTAAGTTGAAATGTCTCCAAGCACCTTTGTTCCCTTTCACTATAACAGTAAAGGAAAAGCTGAATTTGTTTTATTTTATGTAGTGTAAGTTAATTAGTGTAAGTTCTGAACTGTGAGTTAGTTGTTGGATTACGTAAATAGTATATGTGGGTGGTCAAACTTTTATTTTCTTTCTGAACCAGAAGTTGTTTGGATTGCTTCTTTTAAAGCTTAGCATTTAAATTATTTCTTTAGATTGCTCTGGCAATTGCCAACATAAAATCACCGGTGCCGTTAATGCCCTACCACCCTTTGAATTAATTGTTTACCATGAATATTGACCTGAAATGTATCTTTTCATTCATGTGCTTAAACAAGTCAATGGAAATAAGCTACATCAGCAATGCCAGTGATAAATGTGATGCAACTTCTGCAAACGAACTGATTGGCTTTCGGCCTTGTTCATATTTCATGCTCCCTGTCATAAAAGTCTAATTTTACTTCAAGTTTGACAACACAAATCAATGTGATGTTAGCCACGTAATGCTTTTTGACCTCTGTGGTACTGTAAATCTTATGTTTCCTTGTTATCGGAGTCGACTGGCTTTACCCTCCCCATTTTTATTTTGAAAAGGTGTTTTGAAGATTTTGTAAGTTTTTATACAATCTGGGGCGATAATGTATACCTGCTTGGTGTTCGGGGTGGTACCTAACAATAGAAAAGCTAATAAGTCCTCCAGCTTTTTTATTGTATTTTTTTAAGGTTCCTCTACTGGTGATAAATTATCAACATTGAACAAAGCTGATATTTTCTTCTTTACTATCTCATGATGGCTTTTAGGTAGTATTAAATAATTATTTTTTTTTAAATTTAGAACAAAGCTTATCTATTAAATAAACTTTCTCATGTGCTGGTAATGGGCACTAGTTATCTGTTAACACAAATCATACATATTCATACTATTTAACATGAATATGATGTGTTTGTGGACCTAAAATGGCAAATGGTAATGACACAACCTGAATAAGAGTTATCTTCATCTCCAAGGTTATGATACTGCTACTGCTTGGTTTACCTAAAGACAGAATTTTGCAGTTGTGTTGTTCAATCTGATAGTGTGGTGTAAACCATATTTTACAGTTTCTTGTGGAAATAATATCCTAACTTTGTGTATCAGGTTTGTGATAATTATCATTGTCTTTGTAGTGATTAGATACTGTATGTATCTTCTATTTTACACAGAGTAAGATACACCTTTTTGCACTGTTAAATGCACCATTTTGTTGTATTTACCTATTAGAATCCCATTAACTAATTCTTTCTGCTATCCTTTACTTTTGAGTTACCATTTCTGAAAGTGAGGCAATATTGCTTTGGTTGTGGTGTATACTGTGCAGCAATGTGCATTTCTAAATTTAGCTCGTTGCACTCGACCTGTACCCTATTAGGTGTTATTTTATTTGTACATCTTGCTTTCCTTGTGCAAAATGCATGCAAAATGCACCTGTGTCAATTTCAATAGTTTGAGGCTGTCATGCATTGTCAACATTCTCAAAACAGCTGGGGTTAGAAAAGTCTAATTAATTTTTTTACTCAAATACAACTAGTAGCTGTTAATGTCTCAGCTTTTCAGTGTGACTAAACACTAAACTAAAAACTGATCAGCATGAAAGCTGCATGTGTTCGGGTATCATGACTATAGATGCATGCTTCTCTCAGAGTAGCAATATACCTAACTAAATCTCTTAACCAACCACCCTCTAGGGGTCTTCAGCAATGTTCTATAATTGATATGTTGCTGCACTTTAAGCCGCTAAAAGAGGATAATCTGTTATTTTATGGTCAGTCTATTGTCCAGATTTAATTACGACTTTTCTGTATTTACTGCATCGACTTTAATGTAGAGCAATATTTGAAAGAAAAAAAAAGTTTTAGTGCTGTCATGAGAATTCTTAAAATTTCCCTCTTGTTTGTGCTTTGTAGTTAATTTTATAGAAATTTCTTACTCTTGTTGTTAGCTGGTCTTTTCTCTGTATTTGGTGTCTCTTTGTGCTTCAGTACAGGGCCAGCATCAGGTTTGGAGAAAGCAGGCTGATTAATCCAACAGATGCACCTACCCTATATACTTGTCTGCCTGAGCAGTAGATATGAGACAAGCAAACTCTCAACTGTAAAATCTTTCAGCTTTGTATCTTTTTGTTGGTACTGGTGGTGGAACCTACCTACCCTCTTCCCCTCCGTTATTCATTTGCTGTACTGGATTCAGTATTTTTATTGCCGTGTTCTCTTTTTCTAAATCCTCTCCATCTTATACTTAATGGTATTTAATTTGCATTTTTACAATAGTTTACTATTTTAAATCATTGTTTCTTTGCATTTTCATTTGCAAGAACTTAAAAGTGCTAAATTTGAGGCTTGCACATTTCTAATAAGCCAGTAAAGTTCTCTTTTTTTTTCCTCTTTCCAAAAGAATTGTAATAGCCGACTTCTAGCGAGACTGATTTGTATTGTGATTTGTGGTTGTTAAAATAATTCCAAAGGACCGTTTCCTTCGGTTCTGTTTGTTGATGTTTACAATTGTTTTCTCTTGTTTTTATTTAATGAGCTGTTTTCTTGGGTGGTGACCTATGTAGTTCCTTGATCATATTTCATGTTGCCTATTTCCCTCCATTCTACTCGTTCTGCTTTATGTACCTTTTTATTATTTTCACTGCCCTCATTACTTTTCTTTGGTCAGCATAGCTGTGTGCAACGTGAACTCTGTATTGTTGTTGAGATGCATCCTGAGAAACACCATCAAAAATTGAATCAAATCTAGTTCTTTTCCAAAAATCCCAGTAATATTTTTAGGATTGTTTTCTTCCTGTTCATTATACGGTTAACAACCTTGTTGTCAGTGAAACTTGAAAGATCTTTACTTTTCCATTGCTTTACTGGACAGGATTGGCGCCAACATGAGAAGCTGTTTGTAGTACTACTACCTCAGCTTCTTTACTGGAAAGGTTTCAATCCAATATTAATAAGAATTCCAGTATTATGGCAAAATGCATAAATTATGTTATAAGTGGTTCTTTCCTAAACTTTTATTCACATTCAGAAGTTTTAACGCCAGAAGTGGAGTGTGATTTGTAAGGGTAATGTTGGAATGTTTTAGCAGCCTGGATGTACAGCACTAAGATTGGAATGCTCTCATTAAAGTTATCGGAGGAAGTTTTAATGTTAAACATTAATTTAGGCTACATATACACTGTTGCACGTGTTAAAGGCTGTGGATTTCTATGCCTACTAGAAGGCTGTTAGTTATGTAATTATGTTCTGAGAATAAAGGAGCAGAATTGTGACCCTTTAATGCAGTGCGAACCAAGCAACTTTGTCTCCTGTTTAGGAGCAAGACATTTTGTTTGTTGTAAATTTACTAATCATAGTTTTGATATCACTCTGGATGTTTTACATCTTACGTTCTACCTATGGAATGCTGAGCCTAGTTAATTACAGCAGCTTTTCTGAGATCTGTTGATTGAAATTATTTTTGAACTAAACAAAAAAACTCATATTTTCAGTGAAATCGTTAGTGCAGTAAAGGGTTAAGTCTGTTGCCGCGGAAGGATCTAAGTCATAGTGTATCTGTCGCTTTTGTAGTATTTTACAACTTTGTTTACTCTTCTTTTCCAAGTGTACTTGATACTTCATTTGTCACTAGATGAAAGTGTTAGCATTTGGGGTTTTGTTTTTAACTGTGTTGTTGTTTCTGTTTATTCCTAGAAATGTACTATTTCTCACCATTACTTTGTTTTTAAAATGATGATCAATGTCCTATGAAGAAAAAATCTATGGCATGTTTAAAACTGTGTACCATATCTCATTTGTTACAAGTTAAATTCTACTGAATTTTCCTGGAGGTTGACAAGATATATAAGTACTTAATTTGAGTAGAAATTCGTAACACTTAGTTAGCATTCGTTGTTCAGCAGACACTGCCTTCCTTGTGGTCTGACACTGCTGACTTGATGTGAAATCTATGGTCATTAACTGGTAGTCAACTACAGAAGTTCTAAAACCAAACTTTTTTGTACAGGCTACATATTGTAGTGAGATCAAGCTAGTATTGAATTGAAGTTGTAAGGCTGGAAATGTTTGAAAGAAATTATAACAAAAGAAAGGTATTGCCTCTAGAGCAGTTTTCTGTGTTTTCCTATTTTGATTTTGAGGGACCATGGAGTTAAAAACTACATCAACACGTACTATGGAATTAGTACTACTAATTTTAAATTCCAGTTTGTTGGGTCACTTGTTCTTTAGTAGCAGTGACTACGGTTACAGTAGTAGGCCTTTAACTGCCTTTTGGTTTTAGTGCCTTAGTGGATTCGGACGTGTATGTACCCTTGTACTTTGTTGTACATAAGGAGACAATGTACATATTGTAAACCACCTGCTTTACTGCCTGATACATAAAAGTTTTGCAGGAGTGCTTCCAGTCCCATAATTAATACACACATGAAGGAGAACTTATGACCAGACAATATTTTTTCTACAAATCTATAAAATTTGATCATGCCTTGAGTTGTAAACTATGATCAGATGTTGGGTCAATTCCGCATAAATTATTTGTATGATTAAGCAGAGCAATTCTAGATATGCATGTTAAAATAATTAGCATCTTAACAACGTATAGATATGTGATTCATGTTGATTGGAGCTCATTGATGACACATTTGAATTAAATGACCATAGATTGAACTGTATTAAGTGGATATTTCCTGATAAATAAATTTGACCTCAGTAAGTAATTATGTTTACCTAATCCGTTGGTTTGTTCTATGACATTTATCCATAGAAGCTCTTTTGTTCTACCTTTTGACTCGTCTGGTCAGACTAAGTGTTCTCAATTATGTGGACAACAAACCTTAAGCCCCATCGGTCTACATCAACAATTATAATCAGCTTCATTTGTCATTTTATCTTCAATTCTCTACAGTGAGAAATCATTTTTTCTTCTTCTAAATTCATGGTCACTTTTGTGATTACGTGTTTTTGGCCTGAAGGCTCATCATGAGTACTGCTGATAACGATTTTAGAAAATAATTGTATGTGAAACAAAATAGTGAAACTAGTAATTGAGCATGTTGTGTGGGAGTAAAGAAAATGATCATATAATTAGTTTTTAAATATGGAGGAAGTATTTTTATTTTTGTTGGTGATTGATGAGAGGAGTGGTGGGAGTGGTATTTTACTACACATCTGCAATGCTCCGCTCCACTGCTTCTGATAGTGTACATTTGTTCTGTATAGCTGAGAGAAGTAAGAAATAAAATGTGTTAACTTAACTTTTATTGCATCATGACTTTTCCATCCATCTGCATCGCACGTCACAATCAAAGGGTTGAGGGCACACTGACTCTAAGACTCGAACAGGAACGTAGCTACGGTTCACAAGAACATGCACCAAAGCCCAACTGCTTCGTGTTACCACAGTCCTTTAGAATACCCTCCAGGGGGAACGCGTCTGGTCTTGCGGCTGGTGAACCAGTTGTGAGTCAGCTGTTGGTGAGCGTCGGCCGAAGACACCCCGGCCGCCGGCAAGTCCTCCGGTACTTTACGAGGAGGTGGGCCAGGACCAGGAGGGGGCGGGGCGCGCTCCGGAGCTGCAAGGGACGCCTGGAGAAGGCTGTCCTCTTCCCCGGCACCTCTCAACGCCGACGCCTCCACCGAGAGCCGCTGCCCGCCGGCCTCGTCGCCGGCGACATCGTCGGCGACGTCCCCTAGTCCGAGTCCTCCTCGTCGCTGTACTTCGGGCGGAGCCAGCGCGGCGGCGCTGGCCCTGCCCAGTATCCTGGAGGGATCCGGATCCTGGGGACTCGTCCCTGCCTCTCCTCCGAGGGACCCTGTGTCGGCGAGGAGGAGGGCTGCGGAGGGGGCGAGGGGTGATCCCGGTCGGGGCAGTCGCTGCTGTGAGTCGATGAGGGCGTCGAGGGGCACTGTGAGGCCGCGGCTGTCTCGGCGGAGCTCGCCGCCGGGGACAGACTGAGAACCGGCAGCGGGTTGTTCAAGAAGGGGGGCTGCACGGCGGCCGCGGGGGGCAGCCCCTGCCGCTCCCGCCCCCAACCTGAGCGGCAGGGGGGCGACGTGGGGCGGCGCCAGGTGAAGCGGGGCTCGCGAGGCATGCTCTGAAGAGGCCGGGGCCGAGGCCGGCAGCAGGATGTCGGTGTCGGGGGTGACTCGGCGCCGCCTCCAGGACGCGGACTGCGCCGGCTCGTCGTAGCCCTCCCCCGTCACTGGGTTACCGTCTGTGCGCACGGACAGGAGGTCGAGTCAGCGTCGGCAGCAAACGGAGTCCAACGCGTCACTCAAATGGTAGCCGAGCAGCGCGAACCCACAGAGCTTTCAGGATGAAGATAGCGCGAGGGAAGACCAGCACGCGGCCGGCCAGCAGTGCAGCCAAGCCTCGCATTAGCCACCTCCCCGACCTTTCACACTGTACCTGGCCGTCGACTGGCGTGCCGCCCCCCGTAAGACCACATAGGACAGCCTGTTGGCTGTGTTGCGCAGAAAGTCTTACACTGACAATTTCACGAGGAGCGACACAGGAAAGTAGGGGTGAAGGGTGTGCAAGCGTGTCGGGGCCAAACTGAACCGCCGCCGGCCACATTGTTGGTGCCGCCCAAAAACGCGACGGAACATCACAAAGGCTTTAATCTTACGAGGAAAAAAACAACAACAAACAAACAAAGGAGGTTAGCAGCCGCCCGCCCGAGACGACTTGAGTGGACTAGTGGACTTGAGCCAGCCAGTGTCTCGTTGGTCTGCCTCCATGGCCCAGCCGAATAAGGCGGAGATGATCCCCGTGGACGCCGTGCGCGCCGAGGGCGACGAGGACGACGAGTGTCCGCAGCCGTGGCCCCGCCTCGTGAGGGCGGCGTCCCGGCAGATCGCTGCCATGAGGACGGAGCTCCGCATGGGGTTGCCCGTCCTCGACAAGGATGACTTACGTCGGTGAGGCTGTACGGCATCACACGACACCAAATACACAAGTTTTATTTGTTTATTTAAACACGGGCGTTTTGTGTGGGACAGGTACCGCATGTACGAGTCGGGCTCGGTGCTGCTCGAGCTGCTGAGCTCCGGGGACGAGTGGGCGGCGCAGGTGCTGTGGCAGCTGCTGCAGCTGGACGGCGCGGCCAGGTGCGAGCTGGACGCCGTGGCGAGCAAGGCGCTGCGCCGCCCGCCCCTCGCCAACTGCCCGGAGCTGCTCCACGCCCTGGCCACGGGGCTGTCCGCCGCCAGCAAGGCTGGTGCGTGCGACTGGGGCACTATGACATCCGACACCCCCAGCCACACGCCACAAACTTAGCCGAATAATTGTAGCTGCGACCGGATGCAGCGTCATCCGAACCAAAACTGTCGGCCCTGAGATCAACTCCCGGCCGGGGAACTTTTTTCTTTGTCGCTTCTTGTCTCCTGGTAGGCAGGACCAAGTTCCGAACTCAAACCGGGAGGAGCAAGCTGATAGCCTAGCGTGTTAAAGCGTATGTGTTGGTACATCGTGGGGATGGTCGGTAGATCGAAGCCCGTCCGCGATAATTTTCCCTGCTCTGCTAGCCAAGTGTCTTCTGGCGTCAGTCAGAGTTGTGAATGCCGCCGAAAGCCGCGCTTACTATCGTTCCTTGTTGAGGTCAGGAGGAAATGTGCCAGAAAAGGTGCTACAACGTCTTTGTAAGAGCACTGTTTATTCACTAACCGGAGAGCAGAGTGAAGGGTTG